TGTAATAATATAAAGACATTTAACTGAGTTGCTTATAGCACATTCCCATTTTCCATACATGTGGTGGCGTACTCCATAAGTATCAGTTTTGTTTTACCGTATTTATGTGTGTGTCTCTCCTGTCTGTCTGTCTTTATGTTGTTTTTTTTTGGCCATTTTTTTATTGAGGTAAACACCTATATAAATGTCACGTTTCGAAAATAAAGTCATCCAACGCTTATTATTATTATATCTTATTTAAGACTTTACTGCAAAGCTTTTATTAAAAAACAACAATAAACGGTAACAGTAACGAAGGTTTTTTCCACAGGGAACGTAATTAACAAAATCCATTATCATTCGATTTATTTTCCCCTTTTTTAAATTATGTGACTGATCACTACATCACCTGCAAACAACTTCCTGAAAAACAACCTCAATAATCGAATGACAAAGTGGTTGGCACAAAATCGTGTTGAATTGTACCTGGCAATGACTTATTTGCATCTGCCTTCGCGTTGACAAATACAGAAATCGATTGCTCGCCAATGACAAATCACGACCTTGTCCAATAATTGGTTGCATGTAACTGTCATGGGTCAATTACTTTCCGCGATAAACGTTCGTTTGGTTAAATATTTAAAGTCATAAGTCAACCTATAATGCAAAAGTCGTCACATACAATAGAAACTTACTCTCAGATGAGCTGGTAGGTGTTACTGTGGATGCTGTGGCTGCTGTTGTTGTTTCGCTCAGTGACAGGTCGTGTCCCTGCTACGGATGAAGCACACATATGATAATTTCTGAAAGGTGATTGGTTAGAACGAGCTGTATTTATCTGAAATACCTGCATGTAGAAATTACAGTTTGGCAAGTGTAATATTTCGTTCGTCTCAACATTTGTCAACATCATTTATTAGTAAACGGTCCTAACGGTACTATTACCAAATACCGCTGCAACTCATATTATTACCTATACTAATATTAAAAACATATTTTGGAAAGATTTAAATAGAAACATAAAATTGTAAATTCAAAATTTGGAGACTTTCCGACATTTCTGAACAATTTGGAAATCCATCATGGCGGATCCAAGATGGCGGATATTTCAAATGTATGACGTCATTTTGACGTAATATGACGACATAATTGGCACGTGACTGTCACTAACCAACCCCGACTCACGAACGAAAAAAAAAGCCCAGGCAGAATAGGATGAATTGAGTATTTGATTGATTGAGTAGTTTTAAAGTGGTTTTCTACACCATAAAAAACAAATACAACTCACAACTTGATCGATAACTAAAAATAGGTCATCGATTACACTTTGACTGTGTTCTGTTCCTAAAGTGTTATAAGCCACACATCTGTAGATAAACACTCCACTTGTGACGCTTTTGCTAAATCTTCCTGAAGTGGCTAAGATAGCAGTGTCATTCTCTAACAGCTGGTATGACGTCACTGATGGATTAGCATCAGCTGAGCAGTTGAAGCTGATAACGTCACCCTGGCATGCTTTGTTGTCAGCTGCAGATGTTACCAATTGCACGTTCTCTGGTTTGTCTAAAAAAGAGCAAAAATTAATGTAAGTGCTGTACGTACAGTACCACTGAGAGTAATTATTTCCAACTACAGGTATCCTGGATAGTGACTTGTACTTTCGCACTCCTCAGTCCAAACGATCAGGAATATGGCAGTGACTTTTTTTTGCATTCACTGGCTACGGTTTTAGTGTAAAAGCATAATCTTCAAAACACTTGCAATTAGTACAAGTATGGAATTCCTTGAAAAATACGTATTTTTATGGCGTTTTCCAAACTTTTCATTTGAACATTAAACTATTTTACCCCAAGTAAGTTCATTACTGTATCTAATAACATTATCTGAAACACTATCGATCCGCCAAAGACAACAGACTGGTTGTTAAATTAGAATTCATACATAACCCATGTATAGACTATGTAAAACAAACGAAAAAACAGAAAGCAACAGGAAAAAAAAACACTTACACTGTACATCAACCGTTGCTGCCTCTGATCATTGCCACACTGATTACTGGCTTCACACCTGTATTCTCCAGCTTCACTCCTGCTTAATACTTGTGAGCACCAACACGGTTTCAATACTTCGCTGACCATCAGGCTTGATCCAAGACACCATTGGGATGAGGCATCCCAGATGCTTGACATGTCAGAGTCACATTGCCACCTTCAGTTACTGTCTTATCGTGTATTTGTTGTATGGATGAAGGCACTGTAAACAAATGAGTCACAACAACAAAGAAGATATTAATCATAAAAGCAACAAATACTTAGTTGAAATAATTTTAAATTTCTAAGAAACATTACGAGGCATTGTGCAATTTAAAAATAGTTTATTGTAACAGCACTCGAGCTCTCAGAATCATAATTATTACATCTTTATGCCCGCTGGGTTTGCAAACATTAACATTTTCTGTAGGACAGATATACACTCTTTACGACAATACTGTACATGTATGTAGATTCACAATGTATTTAAAGGTAAACATCCCTGCATTTCTACGTTTTGTGTCATTGGCCGTTTTCACACTAGAGACGGGAAACTCGTCTGAGACGGGTTATCCGTCTCAGACGAGTTTCCCGTCCTAGCATGAAAACGGGACAATTATAATTTTTAGACGGGTAACTCGTCTGATTGTACCCGTCTACTTTTCCGTCGCTTTAGACGGATTTCTAAGACGAGTTTCCCGTCTGTGATGGATAACTCGTCTTAGAAATAAGGAAAGGTAACCGCACCTCAGCTTCAAAGTGAAATTGACAAGTAGTTAGACTCGTCTCGAGTTCACACTAGGACGAGAAACCCGTCAGATGAGTTTTTCCGTCAAGACGAGTTTCCCATCTCTAGTGTGAAAACGGCCATTGTGTTTATTTTGAGCACTTACCATCAACAGTAACAGTAACACTTTGACTGTGTCTTGTTCCTAAAGTGTTATTAGCCACACATTTGTAGATGAACACTCCTCCACTTTGTGAAGTTTCTGCTCCATCTTCCTGAAGTGTCTAAGATAGCAGTGTCATTCTCTAACAGCTGATATGACGTCACTGATTGATTAACATCAGCTGAGCAGTTCAAGCTGATAGCATCACCATGACATCCTTTGTTGTCAGTTGCAGATGTTTCCAATACCACATTCTCTGGTTTGTCTGAGGAAAAACATACAATATATGATTATATGCATGTAGATTTTTATTGCAGAGTTTTTGAAGAAACTCTGCACTTTTGTGATGGTTAAGCGGGTAGCGTCTTCTATGACACTATGGAGCTACAGTGTATGTCGGTGTGGTGTAAACTCGTGCGTTCACGTCGGTGTACAACACGTAATACTTCGTGTACAAAAACGATAATAATACGTGTACAAAACGTAATACTTCTTCCATCTACACTGCTTATTGGTATATTTCAATTCAAACACAGACAACTATTTGTTTCAGAAAATCCCATTGCTCTCCTTGTGGTAGCTTTCTTTCTGGAACAAGGTGCTCGTTTCCGAAGCATGGACACAAGACCTGTAACATCTTCCTTGTTGTGTGAGTCTTATAGAGCACCACGCACAAGGGCAGGTAAGACATCTGCGCAACGTCATTTTGGCTAGGAATTAACTGTCAGTCTTTAATTTAATTTAATGAGGGGGCTGAATGCTGCGACATTAAACTCTGCACTATCTTTTTAGTCACTGAGTACAAGAAGTATTGCTGCTCCTCTTATGCTACAATGTAGCATAATGCGACAGACTGACTGCCAACTATTAAAGTTGTTTGCCATGCATGTACCTAATTAAAACTGCTATTCAAAGTCAATTTGAATTGGTAATGAATGCCCTGGGGATGAATTAATGATATGCAAATGATTATATAAAAGACAAACATGTGCTCCTCCCTATGAACTCTATTCTAGTCCGTGGCATCGAATGGTTGGCACTTTGTAGCGTCTTTCAACCCGTCTTCCTCGCGTTGTTCAATATGGCCGAAGGAGAGCAAGTTCCTCTTTTACCAGCTCCTGCAGTGATTCCTGCCCTCGTTCAAGCTATTCGGTAACTGAAAGCTCTCTAGCTCAAGATATCAAACCTCGGCTTTAAGCTTTATGGCGGAGAACCAAGTCTCCCGCTGGCATTGGGGTAGCTCAAGTTCGTGACATTGTTGGACCGGCCGTTGTACTTCTCAAGTTGTCCCGCCAGCGCCTCAAGCAGTCCTAGCGCCTCAGGCGTAAGCGCAAAATGTGCAGCGACCTCAAGACGTAGTTCTCGCTTCGTGTTTTTTTTTTTCCTTCATATCTAGCCGGGTGCGTTTTGGTCTAATTGGAAATGTGTTCGTCTATTTTAATTATTTTGTGGGACGGGTTTTTATTGTCGCCTGTGTGGCGGAATTTATTGCCTGTGGGGCAGTATTGAGTTGTCGCCTGTGTGGCTGAATTCAGTCTTTTGCCTGTGGGGCAAGGCAACTACATTGTAAAATGTTAAATAAGACCTGTCATATCACAACTTAAAACATGGCTCTGTACAAAAATCAAGTCCAAGAGCCACATATATAGCCCGGACCACTCAATCCGGAGTCCAAAGTGCTATTTAAAGGCCAGCAATTTTCCCACCAAATAATACAGAATACATTGACTTACAATTAACATTGACATTAACTGTGTGATTGGGCGCAGTCCTATCCCATTGCATGCAGTACAGCGATATGTTCCAGTGTTATTTCTGTTATTGTCAAGTACAAGCATGTTCTCGCGAGACAGTACATTGGAGTCACTGCCATTATCAAGCACTTTGGTCCAGGTGATGTTTGGTGTTGGTTTTACCATCTGCAATGCACTCTAATGTAACACTGGCAACATCACCTTCTATGACATTTTGATCACCACTCTTCCTAGTGAATTCTGGCGGATCTGTAAAATAAGGAAAACGTACAAGTTATGTTCATTATCAGAGAGGTGAACTCTGATATACGATTGTAGAGACAGAACAAACGCTGGAAAAAATCAAGTGCCTCGAGCGGGATTCGAACCCACGACACCCCGATCTCATGGCAGGTGCTCTAACCACTGAGCTACCGAGACAACCACAGTGGAGTGAGTTGAATATTGGCTACGAGGAAACACCGATTACCAGAAATTTGCTCCCAGGCCTCTCGGACTGGGAATTACTTCCCTTGTAGCCAATATTCAACTCATATTGCCACGTCATTTTTAACTTACCGCATTCCATGTTTATACCCAGTCCGCCGTCCATATTCCATTCTTCAAATTTTGCCTTCGAAAATTAGGGATGGCCCATTCAATGAGGTGGTCCATGGACCGGATTCACGGGTGTTCCATGTACCTATTGTAGGCCATGTTTTGTATACGTCCTAATAACATAGAGGGCAACATTACTGAATTCTGATTGGTTAACACAGAGGGCATTTTCGTTAATTTCAGTTTTCCGGGGGCAAAATTACTCAAGTCTTCCGAAGATTTTCAAGCGTGATCGGAAGGTCAGCAAATATTTCCGATATTCTCCCGAAGACCACCCGATGTCTTAATCACACTAATTTTGCCCTTTATGTTATAGTAATCTATGATTCCTTATAAAATTTAAGGATTAATATCACGTGTGTGTTTCAGAATTTTCAATGAAAACACGCGTGATATTAATCCTTAATTTTACTCGGCCCCATGCGATTGTGTCCAGCAAGCACCTCTGTCAATGACTTAAACCATCGAACAGCTTGCGTACGGACGAAAGAATTACGCTTATATTCCAAGAATGTGCTCCAAAGAGTTTTCCCACATCTATAGGAATATTAAATCGAAATTGATGAAATAGAAAAATAGAAAATTGAGCGTAACGTTTTAATATTATACTTACACTGTACTTCAACATCCACCGAACCCGATTTTCGGGCACCGGAGAGGACTACGTCGAGCTCATAGCTTCCACTGTCCGCTCTGTTCGCTCCAAGGATCGTAATAGAAGACTGTGTGTCCGTTATATTCACGGGTCCTAATCGAGCTGTGTAAGCCGCGTCTATATGTTGGGGCAGGTTAGGTGTTTGGTATTCCAGAATGTTGAGTGAACTTCCACCTTGAACCAAATTCAGTTCAATACGTCTGACCGATCCAGTTAAGACGTACCTCCATTTCAGAGAGATGTTGTTACCTTCCACAACATAGGTTGGATTTGCAGGTACTTCTGTATAAGCGACAGATTGCAACTCTACAAAACAAAACAAAAACAAAACAGATATGGTTTCTCAGACGGCAATGAATGATCTACTGAACGATTTATACGAAGCACGCTGTTTTTCGCGCCAAGATAAATAATCAGGGGCCTAATCGTTCAAAGGATGGATAACGCCATCCACCGGATAAATCGCTATCCAACGAATAGCGTTGTTTGTTTTGTATTTGTACACTGGATAGCGATTTATCCGGTGGAAAGCGTTATCCATCCTTTCTAAAACTTATTCTCGCGAAGGCCTCGCGTAGTGGGGTTTATAATTCTGTCCCCCAAGAGCTCACGCGAGAGCAATTCTCGTGTGGCCTTTACGGTCATATTTATTTATTTATTTATTTATTTATTTATTTATTTATTTATTTATTTATTTATTTATTTATTTATTTATTTATTTATTTATTTATTTATTTATTTATTTATTTATTTATTTCATTGTTTGTTTGTGGAGTTGGGGGATGTCATGACGTCACACGCGCTCGTGCCTAATGGCTTAAGGCGCTAACTTTTAAATCTGATCTTCAGGATTGAGGGCGACAGTTCAAATCCTAAAGCGTCCTTTTTTTAATTTTAATTTTTTTATTTAGGTTCGAATCCGGGCCGTTCTCTCTTTTTTTTTTTTTTCCCCTTTTCTTTGTTTAATAACATTGACTTCGACGTAATCTGTGTAGACGTAACTGTAGAAATAGGAGCCGCAAGAATTACTCCAATTTTGTTTATCGATCGAATTATCGACCGAATTTATATGGGAAGTGACTTTGTTGGACGTTAATAGTGCGGAGAATTTAGAACAAAAAAAAACCCGGCTTTATTAAATCCTGTATCAAGAACAGGAACATGAACGACGACTCAAGAATTTCTCAAAGTACGATCAACATTGTACATTTACAGGTTTGACATCTGAGAACACGGCTTCAATTCGATTCGATATGCTTCACAGACTTCACAGTAAAAATACATTCGCGGCTTGTTCACGGCGTTGAAAAAAGGAAATATGTTTTCAAATGTTTCCTTAATAAGAAAAGGAAATGTTCTTTGCATGAAATAATAATAATTGATGCAAATATGTTGTCGGAAATCCAGGACATATTCTAAGCGGTGTCACGCAAGTTACTCGTCCACTGGGCAGTCGTTCGTCGAGAAAAGAAGACCGTCAACAGTATAAAAGGGAAGATGTTGGGAGACCAGCGAGCTCCAGTCGATCTCTAAAGCCTGGTTATTACCCTCACACCCCAACAATAATTAATCCCCATCACAGATTCGCGAGGACCTATGCGAGTCACGTATTACTAGTTTTTAAAATTATTCATGATGACGACAGCCAATAAATGATGCCCATTTAGGTCAGGTGGATTAATCTTTATTCCCAGTGAAACACCACAACCAAATCTGGTTTTGATCTGAGATCAAACCCGGTTTTGATCTGAGATGATTTTTAGTGATCTTGATATAAAATTTAATGTAATATCAAGATTTATGTGGCATTTATTCCTCGCGTAGCTGGGTTTATAATTATGTCCCCAAAGAGCTCACGCGAGAGCAATTCTCGTGTGGCCTTTACGATCATATTTATTTATTTATTTATTTGTTTGTTTGTGGAAATCGTGGTTGACAGTAATGACGTCACACGGCGCGCTCGTGGCCTAATGGCTTAAGGCGCTAACTTTTAAATCTGATCTTCGGGATTGAGGGCGAGAGTTCAAATCCTACTATGGTCCTTCTTTTTTTTTCGGTTCGAATCCAGGCCGTTCTTTTTTTTAACCCCGTTTCTTTGCTTAATAACATTGACTTCTACGTAATCTTTGTACACGTAAATGTAGAAACAGGAACGGCTGCTGAAGAATAACAATTTTTACTCCAAGTTTGTTTATCGAACGAATTTAACAACAGGAAAAGGAAAGACGACTCAGGAATTTCTAAAAGTACGATCAACATATGGCTTAGTTTTCATTGTAGACATGAAGACTTTACTCTGCTCGCAGGGTTAGAAGACTTGTGTCTGAAAATAATTCGCCGATCCGATATTGCGAAGAAGATTTTACCTACAAAAGCGAGGTGGTTTCAGATCATTCGGACGGAAAAGTGGGGAAAACAGTACAAGAGCGCTACAATTTATTACAGATGTTGGGAGACGAGCGAACTCCAATCGAAACCAAAATCCGGTGGCATAGCAAAAACACGGCGTTCGTCCGGCGATTCTCAGAAACCTTGCAGCGATTCTTGGAAACGTACCTTGCAGATCAAATCGCAGGCGTGCCCGTTACTAGGCAACAAAAGCTTCGCGAGGACCTGCGAGTCACGTATTACTAGTATAAAAATAATAATTCAAAGTTTTACCAACTGGAGTAGAACCTGTGACCTTCCGTACAGTAGTCGGACGCTCTACCATTGAGCTACAAGCCTTCGGAAATCAAAATAGATTATCATCATCTCGAAATGCAAAATAACAAATGTTCACTCATTTACATTTGACTTTATGTTTCCCAACTATTCAGAGCTTAAGGCCCGATCAAATGGTCACAAAATCTGTCTCAACATTCTCTCAACATTTGTTGAGACATGACGAGAGATGTTGAGACCATGCCCGGCAAAACGGCCTCAACCGCAACCTCTCAACATTTCAATAACAAAAGAAATGTAAACTTTATAAACTTTATAACTTTATAAACTTTCTTCGCGCCCGACTAACTACCCCTGGGTCTCCGAGGATGAAGTTGCACTAGCAACTGTAGTCAGTACAGAAAACAAAATACCGGCAACTGACGAGATTCATATGGAGGATCGAAGCAATGGTTTTCACTTCCAAAATTTTTACATTTTTTGCATCCTTATATTTGTTCGGCGATTTTTCAAATCAAATTTGGTGATTTCTGACATTTCTGAACAATTTAGAAATCCAAGATGGCAGATCCAAGCTGGCGGATAATTTTAAAGTATGACGTTATTTTGGCGTGATATGATATCATGCATAATTGACTAAAATAAACATGTTTGGATGCTTTATACACCACATAAGTTTCATTTTTTATAGCATGAATACTTTCCAAGATACAGATCGTTTTTACCCAAATTTGGTGGGGTTTTTTAACCTTAATTTTCAGTTTTCATGGCATTTTCGCTTTTCACGATGAAATCGATATCCTTGCAAAATCTTTGCCGTGTTAGCATCTTTATATTTTTCTTGATTAAGTTTCAAATCAAATTTGGAGATTTTCTGAAATTTCTGAATAATTTAATTTAGAAATAAATATTTTACACATTATAAGTTTCATTTTCATAGCGTCAATACTATTCGAGATACATAGGGGGGCACTTTCTGCCCGAATTTTCAACTACTCCTTGGCAAAAGCCACACATCTTTCTACAAATATGTGTGCTAAAAGTTCTTCACCTCGTTCAGTTTTTTTTTTTAATTTGTTATATAAGAACAAGATCTTGTGCAAAGATCCCAGTCATTCAAGGGCCGGGTGAAATGAACAAGTTCTATTCTGTACGGAAAACCTCTCCTCGGTTATTATAATTAAGAGATGTAAATAGGCTAATCGAATGGCAAGTATGTGCAAGTCTGTATGTGTATGTACTCTTAGTGTATGGCCGTGAAGTTTATTGAAAAATGTCTGTATAAAGAAGGGTCTGGAAAACTCGTCGATAATTAACGGAGAGGTCATTCTGTCTGTATAAAGAAGGCCCCAAAACAACGGAGCGTGACGTGAAAAGAACGTACTCAACTGCTGTTTAAATGTCCATGCATAACGCTTCGCTCAGAGAAAGCTAGAGAAGGTAACCGCACTAATTTTAATTCGAGCGACTAACCTTCTTTGAGCGAAATTAAGAATCAGTCAAA